CTAAAGCCGAAGCTAAATATGTTACCCATTCATCGGCGCCTTGCTTGGTAGGAGATGTATTGAATGTCCCATACAGAATATCTAGTGGCTGAAATACCTCTCGTCCCAAAATCAGCATATTTGCAGAGAAGCCAGCCATTCGTTGACAGTAGAATGCATAGACATGGCTAATAGTGGAAGATCTCAGTCCCAATATTTGTTATTTTTATCTATATAGCATCTTATCATCTACTTGGCCTTTAGAGGAAGGATGATAGGAAGTAGTACACGTTTTGGTGATTTCAAGAAGATCACAAAAAGTCCGGAAAAGAGAACCATCAAAATTCCTTCCTTGATCTGTATGGACTTCATTTGGGCAACCAAAAGTAGCAATAAAATGAATAAAGAACTTTTGAGCCACCAATATAGCTGATTGCTCAGGAATCGCTGCCATCTTACGAAATCCTTCATCAAGTTCTATTTGATAGTACCCGGAAGCCATATCCAAAGTGCAATAATATTTGTTACCCTGTAAGGTATCCAGACAATCTTCAATAATAGGCAATGGAAAATTATCTTTGATAGTTTTATCATTAAGTGCTCGATAATCAACACAGTATCGACAACTTCCATCTTTCTTTTTCACCAAGACTGGAGCAGACCTCCAATCGGAAGTAGATGGCACAATAACGCCCGCCTTTAACAACTTGCCCAGAGGATCCTCCCCCCCCCCCTTTCGCAAAACCAAGGGACGTTTTTCTAATGCGCTGCTTAACTGGTGCATGTAGATGTTTGTCAATCTTGTGCTGTATGGTCGACAAGCACCCGAGGTCCAAATCATGTTTGGCGAAGACATCTTCGTACTCAATTAGCAAACTACAAAGCTCCTGTGCATGATGTTCAGTAAGTTCAGGAAGAGACCGACTAAAGAGATCCTGTGAGCAGGGACCCTCTTACAAAGCTGCTCCACCGATGATTTTATGAACATGATGTCTCCTGAAGATGAAGACTCGCCAAACACATCTGCAACTTCCTCTGCATTCGCAACATGTCTCACCTACTTGATTTTAACAAAGAAATTACTATCATTAATGACTTCCAACCCATAGTTATTTCCGGTACAGACAGTTGCTGCCAGTCGAAGATGGGGACATTTCGTGACTGGTTCCAGAACAACCGGACCGAGCAAGTCGTGCTCGAAACGAACTGGTATAGTTGAAATTGAATTTGGGGGAATTGTACAGTTTTTGAGAGCTAGGCCCTCGAAACCGTGATATCTGCAACGGGAGTCCCCTTTAAAGTGGCAGTTATGATATCATCACCTATTGACAGAGTAGAATTGTGCAGATTTAAGACACAGCCATTAGATTGAAGAAAATCTATGCCTAAGATCATTGGATCAGATATGGGAGCTAGACACACCTTGCAAGAAAATACTGTTGACCCAATCCGTATGTCAACATCATCAATCAGATATCCAGTAACGTAACTTAAACCAATTCCCTTCAGTCTTACAGCTTTACCAAGATTAATACCTTTAGTATTATTGAAACAAGCATCATTTATTATCGTTATCATTGCGGCTGTGTCTACTACTGCATCCACCATCTGATCTAACACCGTGACTGGTATGACCAAACAAATCCCAGCAGTTTCTCGTACCACAAACACAGGAGGGGAATCGTCATCGTCTGGTCTTGGGGGGCAAGAATCGGCTATGTCTAATACTGGCCCAACTGTGGGTCTGCCCCCATCCTCAGTTGATTGGAGTTTAAAGGACCCTGATCTTTACCTTGTGGAGAGCTCAACAACTGAGAACTTGCATTACCAACAGGAAGTGATTCGCCGAAACCACCGGATCTATTAGAACCGTTGACAGTTTGTGAGTGGTTCGAAAACTGATTGGAAGATATGGAACGTTCAGGGCTAGGTGTTCGAAAATTACCCTGACAAGAATACCGTGGTGGACTGGAAAATCTATTGTCCCTCTGACTATAAAAACGTGACGGAGACGGAGATGATCCTTGTTGCTTCCTTCGCTCTGCAACCACGCAAAAAGGCATTTACAGCAAGTTGATCAGTGACATTCCGTTTGGTGTCAGGATACCCGTCAAAAGCTAGAAATTGAACCCTCTGGGCATACTCCTGAAACGACTCACCAATTCTTGCTGCCTTACAGTTTGTAACTCGCGTCTAGCTGTTACAGGAGCATCTCGGGTACTGAAACGACGCCTTACCTCTTTAACTAACTGGCTGTACTTCCGGATACCCAAGCGATTGACATATTCCAAGGCACCCCATCTCAGACATCCTGACATCCTCTGAAAATGTCTCCGCTTCGACCAACCGCACGAATGACCTACCCTCTCAAATTGAACAAAGAATGATTCCCAGGATGTTTTGTCGTCTCCGGAAAACAGCATCATCTTAGGAGTTACATGACTTGAATTCCGAGAGTGACACCGTCCACGGGAATGCTCCTCAGAGTCTGAATCTGAATACAATCTGGATCTCATAGCAAAATACCCAACAGAATCTGGAGAGCTAGGGGGACTAATACTTCTATGTTTGTCTTTGGGAGAGCTTGAATGCCGCCCCCAGGGATCAGTTGATGGGACGTAATGGCGTTCCTGGCTCCGAGAATTATCTTTCCTGTCCCAGGATTCAGATCTGTAAATTCCATCTGATGGAATGACACTTTTTATTTTGTCAATGGACTGTATAGGGTTGGGGGTAGAACTAGAGAATTTAATGGCACCAGACATAGGGGCCACTGGGTCTAATGATGTTGATAATGGTTTGGTATCCATGGGAGCAAATGATCCAAGGGCTTCCTGCTTAAGGGAGATTTGGGAATTAATGAGTGTGTCAAGTTCGCTGCGTAGTTCCATAATTTGACGCTCAGTGTTTTCAGCCAATTCAGAAATCCTTTTGTCAGTGTATTTGGTAAAATTATTGAACTCCTGGCTTTGTTCCAAAAACATTCCCTTTATTTCAGACATAAAATTAGCCATGTCTGACTTAGTGCAAAAGCCCCTATCAGCTCCAGCAACATCCTCTGATGGGAATCCAATGAAGTTCGACACAATAAAGTCTTTCCATTTTTCTTTGGACAAGCCTGGTGTAGCTAACAATAATTGCAAAGTCAGTTTCCCGTGCTTCTCCCTCAATGCTAATATTTTTTCAGTTTTTTGGCGACCAACATTGGGTAGATGTAATAGTTGGCCCAAATTTGCAGTTCGCATATTTAAAACCATTTTAATTAAGAACTTTAAATTACAAAGAAAAAGTGTAAATACCCCTTTAATTTTAATAATGTGTTAATAAAATTGTATTAGAATGGAGGATTTAATTATATATTGTGAGATATTTAGAACTGTTTATTATTGAATGAGCAAGTAACCAATGAACCAACACCAAAATTAATTAATATCAGCTAAAGGTCACGGAGTGCTCAAATGTAGTAATAGTAAAATAATTGACCAATGAAATCGCAGATTTTATGCACTTACTATGATGAATGTAAACAAAAAAACTGCTTTAGTCGAAAAGTCAACTATTAATGAGATTATATATATTATCTACGTATCGAAAATAAATTAACGTTACTTGTTAACAACCAATTTGAACATTCATAAAACCGACAAATAATACATTCACCGATTTCCTTAAAGTTGTTGGCGGTAAATATAGTAAACAAAGAAGCCAGAAGGGAAAACAAACATGGCGTAGTAATACAATAACAAATATTTATAGATTTACATGAAAAATACATTTTTTTTTTTTAACTCACATGAATGAAATGATAAACTTCACGATCGTCGAAAACAGAAGTTATCTTACAGCAATCGGGAAATTATACCCAATAAATCTCACGAATTATCCTTAAAGGAATCGACCTTACAAATGACTTTACGACTTGTAACAATTCGCAAAATCGGCGACGCCAAATGTAGTAGTAACCGAGTTGAGGTACTTACAGTCAATAAGGAGTCTGGACTTAAAGTTAAAGTGCTGAGTGGAGAGGTAACCTGACAACTCTGTTATCCTTCCGCCTCAAAATCATGAATATTTAACAAAACCTGACTGTAAGATGATGTTAATGTTATACATTTAGTTAGTGTTTTATAATATAATAATTTTTGTTGCATGCTAATATATATATACTACAATAAGTTCTCACACTCCTACAACTGGGTCTAAGAATCAGCCAGATATCCCCTCGTGGAATGTGACCCTGTTGGGAACAGATTGAACTTTACATTATTTAACATTATCATTTTTGTTATTATAATGTTTTATACTTGGTCGGTACACTGATTCATTTTATATTAGGTTTCACAGTATCCTGTGTTGTAATAATTGTTCCTTTGTTCTAATTAATACATGCGCAGTATAATATTTTAAGCCATACTTGTTTTGTCGATTGAGCGATTGAGAAGGTGGACCTTCACACAAATTTTGAGGTATTTAAATCTTATAATTATGTATATTATTGTCATATTTCAATTATAATTGTTCAGTGTTTTATTTACCATGTTTTGATAGTACTGTCAATCTCTCAATTAGTTACTTAGCCAAGGTTTATTTATATATTTTCAGATAATAAGAAATACTTCAATACTTTTATTTGTCACTAAGCCATGCCTGTTTGAAGATTAAATATTATACTCAAATTATTGTGAAAAGCCTTTGCCTTATTTGCCAGACGAAAACTTGCCATCTCAATCGTGCCCGCCTGCCGGCAACCCCCAAACACTGACAGAAAATGTCAATTCAAACCATCTTCGTCCATTCAAGACCAAAAGATCAACAAAAATGGACATGCAAAAGGGGAGAAAAAAAGCAGAGAGAGAATTGCTTTAAATACTAATAAATAGACGGGTACCGAGATGGTGAAATTTAATGGTGGTCTGCTTCCTTATGATCCAAGCATAAGGAAGTGATCATTGCCGTGACGTCAATGGAAGTAATCGTTCGTGGTTTGAATCTCTTGTAAATAAAAACCGAGAAAGGTTCATTGTTTACTTCCGGTGTGTTCAACACGTGTGGAATGAATTTGTATTTACATTTAAATTTTACGTAAAACATTTTAATAGATTTAAACTAAAAATGGCAGAATATGTTCAACAGAATATTGAAGATATGCTCCCTGAGCTGGAGCAGTTAGAAAGAGTTGGTTTATTCACAAAAGATGAAACAAGGTCTCAACTGAATTTCTCTCGACTTTTAACTTGTCTTTTGGCAGTTAACTTTTATTTGAATAATTTCATTTGATTAGATTACTGACTCCGCTAGCTTAAAATCGATTAATGTCAGTGGGTAAGACGCTGGTTCTGGAGGTCGTGTGTTCAATCCCTGCATTGGCCAAGAAAGTTCATCAGGATTTTCCAGCGTGGTTTCCCCTTGTCAGTGGTGAAGGACGAAAGGACTGGCAAGGATGGCTGTCTGCTGTTTGAACCTTGCTATTTTATAAACAGATTTCTTCGATTATGAACAAACTATTTAGCTTTGGTTATTATAAACTTAACTGTGTGTTTGAAATCAACTCCGGTTAAAAAAAATCCATTGCACAATTAAATATCCCAACGAATAAAAAAGTTCTCTCTTGAAAAATTTGACGTGTTTACTTATGTTTTCTACAAAGTTGAAGACAACATGGCTTTCGTCACAGGTGTGGACGAAACCATTACAGTTGTTGTGGGGGTGTTTACTTTTGACAGCGAGTTTGACAACCACGTGTTGCTATTAAAACAAACCGTGATCGTTTGAGTTTGGGCGACGAAAAATTTTAACTAAAGGCAATTACATAGAAGATTTATATTGAAACCATTTATGGCCAGTCTATCAAATTTCATTCACAATGAAAATATCAATGATTGCACGAATACTCGTAAAATTAAAGTGGTATTTAAACTAAACCTTCCCTATCTTCTTTATACATGTATTATAAATAATTTAAGAAACAACATGAAGCTCACAACCGAAGTTTCCGAGTGCATCGTTTACTTGATATCATTCTTTGGAGGAAACGATAACCGTTTCAGCAACATATCCAAACGTGTTGCAGCAGCCCCGAAGGTGCCAATTCTGTGGGTGTATAATGCCAAAAAACCTATAATCAAATAATTAAAACAAAATTATATTATTTCAAAAGAAAATGTATAAACTTTGCAGGGATTTTACTAGAATGTAAAAAGATGGTAATAAAATAAAGAGATATGGGCCGAACCCCCAAACTCAATACCAAGCCAAGGCTAATACCACGAATTGTCGTAAATGTACCGTAAAACATTTCGATGTACGCAATATCTCCTGAAGAGTGACGTAACCGGCTTCCATTTTTGTATTGCCCTATGTCAAAAGTTTGTTTGAGTTCAATTTTTCAAGAGAGAACTTTTTTATTCTTTGGGATATTTAATTGTGCAATGGAATTTATTTAACCAGAGTTAATTTCAAACACACAGGTAAGTTTATAATAACCAAAGTTAAATAGTTTGTTCATAATCAAAGAAATCTGTTTATAAAATAGCAAGGTTCAGACAGTAGTCTTTCGGATGAGACAAAAAAACGAGGTCTCGTGTATACATTAGCTTGCAAGTAAAAGATCCTTTGACAGTTGGAATATGATATAAGAGTAGGCCCCTCGGCAAAATTTCCCTCATACCACACTTGTGTATTGCATGAAATCACTTGCTTGGAAATTGCATTTTGAGGGGCATATTTTTGAAACAAAGATGTTGGCATAAAGAACAGTATATTAATATCAAATATAGATATAAATTATTAATATATGAGTTGTAATAATGGTGGATTTGGAGAAATCATGCTACCGCTCAATTAATGTCACTCAATTGTAATTCTGTCAATTTCACATTTGAGAATTTGGATTTTGGACTATGTAAGGGAGAATACTCTGGATTATTAAGTCATTTTCATAAAATCTAGCATTCCAATAATAGTTTGGGAAATAAATTGGTATGTTATGAAAATAGTCGTATTGTGCTGTAGGTCTGTACCGTAACTAATTAGATTATTATTCAGACTCCTTAACACTATATGAACAGAACACAGTTTTTATGGGAAACAATGACTCATCAGTCATTGTTTTTTAACAGGAGCAATCACTCTCGAGCACCTGCCGCACACCTGAATGTCGATCGAGGGGAGGGTTTACTTCCTCCCCTTAAAATTTAAAATCGCTATCCTTAAAAAAGGCATAGGAGGTTTATGATCATTTATGCAATCAGGAATGACCCCCTAACATGCAGTTATAGAACCTCAGATCTCTCTCCTTAATTTCTAAATCACTCTTCTTATTGAAACTGGGAGAGATTTTTTAGGGGAGCTATTTTCGACTTTCCTCTAAAATACAAACAAAATCGCCGGAATGGCTAGATTTTATTCTAAAAGCACGATGTTACAACAAGTATCCTCTTATCGTTATCAAGCACAATGACATTTGGTAAACTTGAGGTCAATATGTTGGAAATGCATAGTGATACCATTTACACAGAATTAAATAACAGTAACAATAGGAATTTAAGTTATAATCCTTGTTGCACAATGCCACTGTCTCTGCATCTTAGTGTTAAATCATTAACACTAAACAAATCTCATATTTATTCACAGACAAATCTTAAAGAAAAGACAAGGTTATGAATACAGATTACGAAGACAAACTAAATGTAAAGAAGATTTTCTTCAATATATCCAGGTGAGAAAATTTGAAAGTTTATTTTTACTTTTAAAGTTATTCTACTACTCAAAGAATTATTAAGGGAATAAATATTAATCAAGAGAACCTGTGTGTGAAATAGCTTTATTTAACGTCTGCTTCCATCGAAGGGATATCGCAGACCAGAACCTGTGACTGGGTTGTTTAAGAATAGTTTACGGCTGGTGATCAAAAAGATCTTTATGTTTGACCCCAGTGAATATTTATTTGACTTAAAAGTGAGTTTGCAGCCTTGCACTGAAGATAGCAATCAGATTGAAATAATGATTTAAATTTTGTTTCGTTTTTATACGCCCACATTTTCATGTGGAAGTAGATTGTAGCCGCCCCTGTCCATCCGTCCACAATTGTTTGTGAACAGTCTACAGGTCACAATTTTTATCTGATTTCAACAAAACTTGAAATATAGGTTTATCACCCTAAGATCTCGGTTCCTTTCGATATTGGCATGTATCGGACTGTAACTTCATGGATTATGGCCCCTGATTGTACGAAAAATCACGTTTTTAGCTTGTGAACACTGTAGAGGTCACAATTTTTATCCAATTTGGTTTAAACTTGAAATGTATGCTTATAACCCAAAGATCTCATTACTTTCGATATTCGCGCATATCAGAACGTAACTTCCTGAATTATGGCCCCTGATTGTACGAAAAATCGCGTTTTTAGCTTGTGGACCCTATAGAGGTCATAATTTTTATCCGATTTAAAAAAACGTATTATTATATCACCGTTACACCCTAAGGACGGCACAGTTCGAATTTCGTGAAAATCAGACCAAAACTGACAGACAAAATGGCCGCCCTTCGTTCTCAAATAGCGTCACAATTTTAATCTGATTTTGTTGAAACTGGAAATGTAAGTTTATAACCCAAAGATCTCGGTTCCTTTTGATATTTGCGCATATCGAATTGTAATTTCCTGAATTATGGCCCTTGATTGTGGGAAAAATCACTTTCTTTTACTTTTAGCTTGTTCTCTATCCATCTCTCGAAAATGTGGGCGTATCCTGCCTGGCAGCCGCTGGTTTATACTTTTGGTGGTCTCAACTTTATTAGTAAATACAGTAAAACAAAGGTTGAAATATAAAATACAATATGGGAAATGTGTTTTTTTAATCAGACTTAAAGTAGACAGAAAATTTTATTTATCAAAAATTGTATTCATTTTCACTTCCCATCCAACATTATCAAAGTTTTTCAGACCATCTTTATAAAAATAGTGATCAACAACATTGATTTGGTTGAAATGAAATGAAATAAAATGGGAATTAACGTCCTACTGTTCTGCTCCGACTAGACTAATGAAGATGGGAGGGGGCTGGGGAATAAGAAGAATGTCATTCAAAGTCGTTATGACTTTAGAATCTTAAGTTTAGATCATAAGATCTGTATTTATATATTTATATAACAAGGATTAGGATCATCTTCCTAATCGTGTGGTGTTTTTCCACGTCCTGCGGATTCCTCCTTCTACTAAATACCCCAACATGCAAACCAAGTTATGAAATAAAAGTGACATATACTTTGTCTTCAGTGGACCTCTCTCTTTCACACACTCACTCATATTCATTTGAATTCTATTCTTTCAGTATGAAATTAATTGCTTGGCTCTACTCCACAAACGAAGAGAGGTAAGAATTAGTTTTATATTTAAATCATAATTGTATATTTAGATACATTCCCTCGTACAAACTGGGTGATTTGATGATATATTTTTTGGACTAAAAACATAGAAAATCGATCAAAAGAGGTCATGTTTGTGTCGCATGACTTACCCCTCTCGGTACCTAGCAACGGGTGCGAAACCTGAGGAGAATTCATTGCATACACAAGACGATGTTGTCTTTAATCGCTGACTATTTATTACAAATATCAAAGCCCAATAAATTTTCGGATTATTCACTGCCCAAATTTTTTCCCGTGGTTTTTAACTCAGAAACTGTTGCACCATCAGGGTTATCAACATATACATCAAGCGCTCACTAATGCTGGGAGATTAGGCAGTCTTCACGTGCTACCTGTGACGTTACTCGAACAGACATCACTAATCTTTGGGTTGCCGGTTAGGGAAACCCTTACATTTTTGCCCTGTATGCACTCCATGCATGATTTTCATGGAATCCAGTATTTTTCTAGTAAGATTGGATGTTTCTACTTTCCATATATATACCAAAATTGCCATACTTTTTTGGAAATAACCACCCAATAAATACTTTTGTGGGAAAGTATTTTAATCAATATTGTGACATCCACATCACTATTTTTATACTCAAATGGAGAGCGAGAGAGAAATGGGGTTTAACGTCCACTCGACACAAACGAGGTCATTTCGGGACTAACATATGGTTTAATTTTATTTCAATAATTCGCTTGCGTGTAGGGGTCTTTAGCAATGGGAGGAAACCGGAGGACCCGGAGAAAACCCACAAGGTTGGACAGGCGACCCTACTCCTTGTCACGTACAACCGGGGATTCGAAACCACGCCAGTCAACTCAATGACAGACTTTATGATACAGCGCGCGCTAACCATTCAGCCATCCAACCCCTCATACTCAAATGGATGATAACGTCATTGTTTATATTGTTTGTTTTACAGAAGACTGGATATTCTTTTAAACAGTTGAACTTAGAAAACGTCATCAAGGAAAGAATCAACAAATTATTTCGGGTAAGTCTATATTAATTCATTTAGGGGGTTAGGGTGTAGTAACACACAGTTCAATTTTATATCAATTATTCACTTGTGTGTAGGGGGTCTTTAGCAATGTGAGGAAACCGGGGACCCTGACAAAACCCACGAGGTTGGACAGGCAACCATACTCTTTGTCACACTCAAGCGGGAAATCGAAATGACAAACCTTGTGATTTCACGCACACACGTTTAACCACAAGACCACCTATCCTCCCCACAACTAAAGGACCCCTGCATTCAAGTCAGTTATGATATCAATCTGATGAAAATACAGATCTATATTTCGTTTCATTTTTTTATACTTTCGATGGCCTACACTACATGAAGATCTGACAAGTTGTACTAGAAGGTCGTGTCAGGGGTCGTATGAGTGGCTTCTCACCCTATGACATCAGACATTGATTAATCAATCAGCGTTGATGTTTCTAGTGGTTTACCCACAGTACCATGCATGGCACGCCAAAAAGTCACCGTAACAGACCGTTTGATTGGTTTATCCCTCCTTTCAACCAAAACGCCAATCATATAATAACTCTTTCAGATCGTTGTGTAGTAAAGACAAGTAAAACGAAATTTTGAACTATAAAAAGTGAAACGAAATAGGATCTGTGTTTTAATCAGATTGTTATGATATATAGTCTCAAAATGAGATGGTTGAGTGAATGTAGAGTATCATTTATTTCTCTTTTGATCTCTGGGGATCACGTGGCTAAGTGCGTAAGACGCTGGCTCGCTAGCCTGGAGGTCGGGTGTTCGATCCCTGCATTGGCCGATAAAAGTTCATCCAGATTTTCCGGCATGTTTTCCCCTTGGCGTGCACGTAAAAGATCCCATGGCAGTTGGAATTCGATATAAGAGTAGGCCGTAGCGCCACTGCCCAGGCAAAATTTCCCTCATAGCACACTGTATGGCGTATGCCCATCTTCATTAGTCCAGTTTATTAGGAGCAGAACAGTAGGACGTTAAACCACATTTCATTTCATTTCTTTTGATCTCTCTGTTAACTTATTGTTTTAAAAAGAATTGTATATTCAAATTACTTTTTCTGTGATATCGCTTATAAGATAGTTTCACGTGCAATGTTTATAAGATAGTTTCACGTGCAATGTTTATAAGTTAGTTTCACTTATTCTAATTTATGTTTTGCAGATGGCTACATACAGGTTTCAGGTTAGTTTTTATTTGTTTTGGTTTTTTTTATGTGGGGTGGAAACATATCTTGACCAATTCTCTCCTGGTTTGTGAGTAGTGAATTTTTAAAATGGATATTGAATGATTATTTGAACTAAACTGGAGTTTAAAGATGTGATATTAAAAATATACTGGTATAAATTACTTTGATAAAGTTCTTATTTTTAAATTTCAGGAGGACCTAAAACTATGGATGTCACACATTGCATTCTGTGAATCAAAGGTAAATGTCTTGTGATGTTTAAAGGAGCACAATCCCAGATATATTTATCTTGAATAAAATTGGTTAATTTGATGCATGACTCGAAGTAATATCCATCTATCTTTTAAGCTTAGTTTGATATTGCCATGATTACCAAGTCACTCATACAGTTGAATATGAAATTGTCGACACCTGTATACACAGTTGATTAGCATTTTTATTCACATTTTTAGCATTTGATTTGTTTAATTCAAATTCTCTATTATAAATTTGATGGGATGAAACCTGAGATCCTGTGTACACGTTGGCATGCGCATAAAAGAAAACTTGACAGTTGGAACTCAAACTAAAAGTAGGCTGTAGTGCCACTGTTTGGGCAAAACTGCCGTCATAGCACACTATATGGTGTATGATCGTCTTCATTAGCCCATTTGGTGCAGAATAGAATAGTGGGAAGTTGAACCACATTTCATTTCTCTTTCCTAGCCATCTCAGGTTTGTATCTTTAAAATAGAGTTATCTCCCTTGCATTACTATCATACCAATAATCTCGCCAATCCCCCCCCCCCCAATTTGATCAGTATAACTTTGTAATCAGCTGTTATTGTCTTGTTTATTTCTAGGATGATGTTGTTAGAGTGGGTAAAATTTTTACACGGATGTTGCAAGTCCATAATAAAAAAACAGGTAAGATTCAACAATTTGAGCATTTTATGGAAATTTATATAAAAAAATGATAGTTTCAGTTATAAAAGATATTCATCAATCTTGTATAGTTATATAGTTTTTTAATGTTATTTGTAGGGAGGTTGATTTGCCGAACGGTTAAATCGTGCGCGTTTGATCATAAAGTCTGTTATTCAATCAAGTGGCATGGTTTATATTACACACTTGTACGTAACAAGGAGTAGCGTTGCCTTCAGGGAAGTGAATTATTTAAATAAAATTGACCCATGTGTTAAGTCCCGAAATGACCTAGTTTGTGTCGAGTGGACGTTAAGCTCCATTTCTATGTCTCTCTCACACACTAGTTAGTTCTAATTCTCAAGTTATTGCCCAGAACAGTTAATTTCTTGACAGATCCCTAACGCATAACCTTGTATACACTAAACTCAATATGGAAATAAAATCATGAGATGTCTTATTACAATGTGGACAATTAAAGAAACTGTTAGTATTTTTAACCTTGACTGACAAAGTATTTTATGTTTTTAAATATGGTTTCATCTCTATTTGGGTCTCTTCATTTTATTCCTCTACAGAGATATGGATTCTTGCTGCTAAATGGGAGTTTGAAAACAAAAATGCCCAGAATGCAAGAGCAACCCTTCAGCGAGGGCTTAGATTTAATCCAGATTCAAAAAAGCTATGGTTAGAGGTTGGTAAAATATAGATTTTTTGATTAAATTTTAGTTTTTAAATTTGTTAAGACAAGTTTTTGCCTATTTGTTTTTCAATTTTTTAAAAATGTAGCTTATGAATAAGCTGTATAGAATATTAGTCCAATAAAACTAGACTGCTTTTATAATTGATGAATAAGTGAGGTGTTCAATCCTTGCATCTTGAGACTATTGTTTTCTTAAGTTTAATCTGTTATTATATTATTTTAAATCCGTTATTATATTATTTGAATCTGTTATTATATTATTTTGAATCTATTATTATATTATTTTGAGGGGGGTTGGATGGCTGAATCGTTAGCGTGCTCGCGCTGTATCATAAAGTCTGTCATTGAGTCGACTGGCGTGGTTTCGAATCCCCGGTTGTACATGACAAGGAGTGGGGTCGCCTGTCCAACCTCGTGGGTTTTCTCCGGGTCCTCTGGTTTCCTCCCACTGCTAAAAACCCCTATGCGCAAGCGAATTATTGAAATAAAATTAAACCATATGTTAGTCCCGAAATGACCTAGTTTGTGTCGAGTGGACGTTAAACCCCATTTCTCTCTCTCTATATATATTATTTTGAATCTGTTTTTATATTATTTTGAATCTGTTATTATATTATTTTGAGTCTTTTATTATACTATATTGTTATTATATTATATTGAATCTGTTATTATATTATATTATTTAGAATCTGTTATTATATTATTTTGAATCTGTTATTATATTATTTTGAATCTGGTTATTATATTATTTTGAATCTGTTATATTTCTTTGAATGATGATATTTTATATTTTTTTATTTTGTTAACACAATTCTTATATTTCTTTCACTAATTATAATTTATATTTTCAGTATTATAGAATGGAATTATTATATACAGATAAGGTAAACAAACATTTGTTTTTTTGTCCTTGTATTTTAAGAAGTGACATGCACACAAAACGATGTCCTAAAATATTTTGACAAAAGTTTGCAACAATGATTCAGCGATCTTAATTGCAATAAAATGCGAGATACTTCCCTCACAAATATTTTGATTGGTCGATAAAGATAGCACAAACATCAAGGGTGGATAATGTGTCTCCCCTGAGAAAGGACCCAGGGGTTAGTGGAGTAGAACAGAACGATATCACTGGAGATATCGAGGATGACGTAACTATAGAAATGAAAAGTACTATCTGTTAGTCTAAAAATGACCCAAGTACATATGTTAACCAGCCTTTGAACCCCATTCCATTTCATTTTGAATATTAGTCAAAGAATACAAACATCTCAATTTTCCCAAAACAACTTAATTGTGAGCTCCTCAAGCAACTGAAAGTTTACAAATTGAATTAATTTTCCATTTTAGATGCAAAAAAGAAAGAAAATATTAGGTGTAGAAGATCCAGAGGTATATTGTGCTTTATTTTTTTTTTATAATTTAGAGTTTACTTCTTTCTAAATATACAATTAATTACTTGCCATTTACACTGAGCCCAACTAAATTATATTAAATTTATGTTACTGTGTTGCAACAGAAGAATTTTATTTTTATGATCTAATTAATTATCTTTCTTTAAAAATATTTGCTAGATATTACAAAATAATTAATTAAATAATAAATCAATTATCTGAAATATGTAATCTGCTAATTGCTTGTTTTAGACAGTTTTAGTTTATCCATAAAGATATTTGACTTTGAGTAAAAGTAATGTAATGTTAAGTTCCCACTATCACGATTCGCGCTACGATTGAAATCGTGGTTTTAATCATGGAGTAATCGTGGTGATCCTATCAGGTCTTATCATATATAGACGGCAGTCGTAGCAATCGTGTTGATCGTATCGAAATGTATCCAATCTTACCTGCAAATGCCAGACCATGGACTCAGTAGGGACAATCCTATCGTGCTACGATTGAAATCATGGTTTTAATCGTGGAGTAATCGTGGTGATCCTATCAGGTCTTATCACATATTGACATCAGTCGTAGCATTCGTGTTAATGATATCGAAACGTATCCAAACTTATCTGTACATGCCAGATCAGAGACTCAGTAAGGATAATCCTATCGTTACGCACCACAATGGGAACCTAGAATTAATGAAGTTTATCTTATATAGATGGAGGGTAAGAAAGATGCTGTATTAACTGGTCAGGTGGCAGAGGTTGTATATAAGCAAGCTAAAGAAGCATTTCCAGGTAAACTTTTTTTATTTACTTTGAGCAATAGTAAGTGTAGGAGGACTGCACTACACACAAGCTAAACCGACAAGACAAACATGGGGACGAACTACACAGAAATAAACAACAATTGTCAAATCAGCCATAAGTGTCCATTGCGCTTTAAAAACACAGGCTTACTCAAAATGAAAAAAAACAAACAACAATGACTGATTTACAACAAGAAAGATCTAATAGAAATTAAACGACTGGTCTTGATGGTAGTCATCTCCTGATTAGTTAACTAATCTAAGTAACTGATGATCATCCACTGGTCAGGACAGAGGACCTGTCAAGGACAGCTGTCTAGTCATTCGGATAGGACAGAAAATCAAGGCATGCAAGTAGATAATCCCTTGGCAATTGGAATTCGATATAAGAGTAGGCCTTAACTCCACTGTCCGGGCACAGTTTCCCTCATAGGACACTGTATGGTGTATGCCCGTCTTCATTAGCCCAGTGGAAGCAGAGCAGTAGGACATTAAACCCCATTTCATTTCTGACTAACCAATAGGTCTTGGGTTTGATCCTGGTGTTGGCAGAAATAGTTCCTCAGGATATTCTACTTTGGTTTTCCTTTATCAGACTGGGATGTAAAACTAAGGTTAAGAGAAGCCCATAGTGCTTCAGCTGCACAGACAAAACATTCCTTATAGCACACTGCAACGTGAATGTCCGTCTTCATTAGCCAACTTGGTGCAAAAAAAATTAGGATGCTAAACCCAATTTCATTTGATTTATATACTGTTGGTTGTCCAAAAGATTTCAAGACCTTTGAAAATTATGCAGATGCCTTGGTTAAAGGGAGTTTGGATGGGCGAATGGTTAGCGCTGTCATTGAGTCAACTGGAGTGGTTTCGATTCCCCACCCAGTTGTATGTGACGAGGAGTAGGGGCGCCTGTCCAACTTCGTGGGTTTTCTCCAGGTCAGCTGGTTTCCTCACACTGCTAAACCCCCCTATGTGCAAATGAATTATTGAAATAAAATTGAAGGTTAAAGTCTCTCTCTCTCCTTTTCTCTCTCTCTCTCTCTTGCCTTGGTTAAATTATTTAATTGTATAACTGTTTAATGAAAATGGTAATATTTATTTTTGTCTGCTTTATAGGTGATGCAGAGTTGATTTTAGGTTTTATTAAAATCTGTGAATTATTTAGTTTTAACAAATCTCAACTTGATAGTATGTACAAAGAGTAAGTAGCTTGTTTGTTTGTCTGTATGTTTAATGAACAAAATATTTCATAATTGTAACCCGCCTTTCAGAGACAGCAAGTGACTAATAAAATAGGTTGATCTATCTGTTTGGCCATCCGTCTGTCGATCTCACTTTTTTGGAACTACATAGCTCTGCTTCTAATTGATAGTGGTTGGAGCGGGGTGGGCGAATGGTTTGCAGGTGCATGTTGCATCAGAAGGGCTGTCATTGAGTCAACTATTATGGTTTTGATTCTCTGCTTGTATGTGACAAAGAGTATAGTTGCCTGTCCAACCTCATGAGTTTTCTCTAGATTCTCCTGTTTCTTCCCACTGCTAAAGACCCCTTCGTGCAACCGAATTATTGAAATAAAATTGAACCATATATTAGTCCAGAAATGGCCTACTTTGTGTCAAGTGGATGTTAAACCCCATTTCTCTTTCTGTCTATCTCCACTTTAAATTGATAAGGGAGTTTGGTGGCCAAAAGGTTAATGCGTGTGCCTTGCATAATGTCTGTCATTGAGTCAAGTGGTGTGGTTTCAATTCCCCGCTTGTATGTGACAAGGAGTAGGGTTGTCTGTCCATTGTCCAACCCCGTGGATTTTCTGCAGGTCAATGGTGTAGATGTTTATTAAGTGAATCTCTTGCTTGGTGATGGGTATTTCCTGCTTAAACTAAGCAGAGATACAGAAGTTGATTTACCTATGCTTTGGGACACGATAACTTTGATTGTAAATGAATGAGAATTATGAAAGTTGGTGTTTAGTTTAACTACATCAATACTTTGACTAAGTAATTTCTGATATGGTTAGGCAGATTAAAAAGCAGTTTGATTGCTTAATGCTTTATGAAAAGTTAAATGTACAAGTCATTAAAGTCATTTATTTTGGAATTGAGACGGGGTATATCAGCCTCACTGTTGGGTTTTTTTTTTTTGAAAATCAAATTTTGGGGTTAAATAATATATTACCAACCTGATTAAAACACAGATCCTATTTCGTTTTGTTTTTATAGTTCAAAATTTCCTTTTGCGTGTCATTACTACACAAGGATCTGGAGGGTTGTTATATTACCGGCGTTCTGGGTAAAGTGAGGGATTAGCCAATGAAACGGTCTGTTATGACGAGTTCTTTGCGTTTGATGCACGAAACTGTGGGTAAACCACTAGAAATGTCAATGCTGATTGGTTAATCAATGTCTGAAGTCATAGGGTCAAAAGCCACTTTCCAGTACAAATGGTCATATCTTCATCGAAAGTATAAAAAAACAAAACAAAATATAGATCTGTATTTTAATAAGGCCAAAGTAAATAAGTTATTCACGAAAACCAATTAAATATTCTGCTTCCTATTTCTTCAGAAAAGTCTAATTTAAAAACAAAAGGTCCCACCCACCAGTACTTGCTTGTAAGATTTTAAAATTTTAAAAACAAGATTTAAATACATATTTGTTTATCAACATCCTGAAGATCTAAAAATGAATTAGTTTGGCCTTATACATAAAAAGTTATGGTATGAAAGATTTGATTTAGGATGTTCAAAATTTAATAAGCCAAGCATGAGTTTTGAACAATATTTTGTGTATAAATTTTTGGCTTTTTCACAGATTTGATTTAGGTCGTTCCAAATTTAATTAATCAACCATGAGTTTTGAACGATACTTTGTCCATACATGTATAAATTATTTATCTTTTTTTTAATTTTTGACTTTTTCACAGTTTAAAGAAGAATTATCCTGATAAGCCACTAACATGGGATGCTAGAGCTAGAAGATGTATGAGTATACAAACCGGTCAAGGTATTTATTATTTTGATAACGTATCATATTTTACAGGTTTTTAAACCACTAGGGTTGACACCAATCCTGTTACTGTCAAAACACAGGTTGGGTAACTTTATCATCTTCAAATATGAAACATGTAACTGTCATCAATAAAAACACTTAATTCATAGGTGCGCATTTGGGTTAGAAATACACTGTACGGAACAGGGTATGGTTATTCTTTCAAGAACACACAGTAACACTTCTCATTTGATGAGTTCACATAGCTAATGTATCTTAATAGATCTTCTGCCCTGTTGCTTTGGCTGTTGAAATACTAACCCAAAGTATTACTCCATTTAACTGGATGTTTTCTCCTCCAAGAACACTGGATGCAATAGCTGCATTTTCCTGATCTTTAAAGCTGCTGTCATTTCAATATCTGGGGGGAGGTTGGTCGGCTGGATGGTTAGTGCCTGTGCGCTGCATCATAAGGTCTGTCATTGAGTCAACTGGCGTGGTTCTGATTCCCTGGTATCTAGCTAGTTTTGAATGATATATAATTTTCACAGCTTGATTAATCCATGCTAAAGAGTTCTCAAATTGATTATTTAACATCTACTAAAGAAAAACAAATGAAAATATCAACAGTAGATAATCTCTACTTGTTTTTATCGTCTGTAAAGAATGTTGAATTTTGCCAAATTTACAATTCATCCTATCTTTGTAAATTGTGTAGTTTGTCCACAGGTTTGTCTTGTTGGTTGTGTTTTGTGTGTTGTGTGGTTCTCCTGCTCTTACTAATATATTATTTTGATATTTGTAGATTCAAGTAATGAAGATAAAATGCACAGTTTATATGAACAGGCAGTTTCACAGATCAATACAAGTAAGATGTTTATTATATTTTAAATCTAGTCACATATTGATGATAGAAACCTTAAACAAAACATCCAACAAACACAGAACATCTTTTGTATAATGAAAAAATACCCACACAAAGTTCTTCTTAATGAAAACTTCAATGTTTTTCTTACAATATTTTTATATTTAGCAAAACAAAAACTTCATGTGGACACTTGTGATCAAGCCACCAAAAATGTTCAGTCTTCGGGTTGTTAAGGGGAGGTAACTCTTCCAACAACTACTATTGTCTCCCCTTACACCACAAGTTGCAGTCTTTTCAATCCTGTTTTTTATTACATGAACCTAATACATTCTATTTTTACATATTAAAGTGCCCATTGTCCATGTCAGTATAATGATATGATTTGTACAAATAATATTATTAGTTTTGTGTTCCATATAACATTTGGTTATTTTTTTTAAAGAGACACAATTCAACATTTTGCACTTCCAAAACAAAACTTTAATCGTATAAAGCTTATCTTGTCCCATCACTAATCATATAGAGCTTGTCTCATCACAAATCATACAGTACTTGTCTCATTACTGTTCATAGAAAACTTGTCTCATCACTAATCATACAAACTTGTCTCATCACTAATCATACAGAACATGTCTCATTACTAATCATACAGAACATGTCTCATCACTAATCGAAATAACATATCAGATTTTTTATTATTACTTAAATCAACATTTACAAGAAGCCTTTAAACTAAAGTTCTATGTTATAATTTACATTTATGTTATCAGAGATGTGGTGGCTCAGTGAGTATGACACTGGCTAGCTAACCAGGGGGTCTCATGTTCACTCCTGATGTTGAACGAGAAAGTTCCTCAGGATTTTCCGGTGTGGTTTTCCACTTGTTTAGTTGTTCGTGAACGTAAAAGATCCCTTGTCCTCATAGCACACTGTCAACCCGTCTTCATTAGCCCAGTCGGTGCAGAAAAGTAGAACGTTAAACCCCATTTTGATTCATGTTATTGTATTTATCTATTACATTCATAATTGGATAGTGCTTTGTTTCATTTAGACCTTATGGTCTTCTGTGTATTTTATTATATGTTTGGGGTTTTTTCATTAACAATATTTTATCCAGGATATTTGAATGTGATTGGGGAAGTTACATGTATGTAAACCCCACCTCTTTGTTTTTATTTTGTGAGCCACGGTGGCTAAGTGAGTAAGACGCTGGCTCTCTAGCCTGGAGGTCGCATGTTTGATCCCTGCATTGGCCAAGAAAGTTCATCAGGATTTTCCAATGTGGTTTCCCCTTGTCAGTGGTGCAGGACGGAATGCCTGACAGGGGAAGCTGTCTAGTCATTTGGATGGATCGAAAAGCCGAGGACCTGTGTATACATTGGCGTGCACATAGAAGATCCCTTGGCAGTTGGAATTTGATATAAGAGTAGGCCATATTTCCCTCATAGCACACTGTATGGCAAATATCATCTTCATTAGCCCAGTCAGAGCAGAACAGTAGGACGTTAAATCTCATTTCATTTCATTGTTTTTATTTTAATGAATGTATAACAGTTTGATGATTAATGAAAGATCGCGCCATACAAATAATAATAATAATAATAATAATACAATCATCATAGTCAATAGTAATCAGTAAAATAACCAATGTGACTCATGCAAATAATATTGATGAAATGAAACATGATCCGAGCGAGAGTCATCTCGTTACCATCTTCTAATCAAATATAGGTTTACAAAACATAAAGACTCTCTTCGTCACCTGTCAACGAGGAAACAAAACAATCTTGACTGATATGATGAGTGTCGTCATGTCGACAAGTAAGAATAGACAACTCTGAGGAGATTAAACTGACAGTTGTCATGCAGTCGGGGAGGTTGCCTGGCCATAAAGTCAACATAAAGATTTTAACAGCTATTAGCAGTCATAACAATATTATTGAAGGTGTCATGAACTGTTGTTGACTGTAGTCTTACTTATACTTTGACATTTAATAGAGTCAACCTATAAAGTTCTTTGAATAATAGTATTCATATCAAACCTATTATATCCCCTATAATGAATATAAGCCTCGTCTCTTTGGACTTTAATTAGCTCGAATATTGAACAATACATCTAGCTTTTCATTGTTATTTTTTAATTAGCTAAAAAAAACAATCACTTAAATTAGTTGGGATATTCAGAATTGTTCCTGATAATCATAGTTGTTATTCGCACTTAGAATCGATATGTTTCTATAGATGACAATTAAATTTTAATTGATCCATTAGTCAATGGAAAACAAAAGATTTTTGTTTTTAGGTATATGATTCCATAAATAATAATTTATTCGTTAGGAATTTACGTAATTATGGATTGACAAAAATTTGGGTAAAAATTTACTCGAGACATAAAGAAAATGTCAGGTTGCCAGATTTTTTTTTGTGTGTGTGTGTGTGTGGGGGGTATAATTTCATTACAAGTATTAAGTAGACTTTAGTTTTTGTGATTTTCTAATGATTTATTCTAAAGAAATTTCAATAATTATTGACAGACAAAAAAAATACTGTAAGATTTTTCTGGAAAATGTCAGGTTGTTCTGTGTGTACGCAGTGATCTATGGGAGTATCAATAGATTAGTCTTTACATAAATGTGTGAAGTTTTATTTATCTTATACCTACAGGCCCCCCTACATGTCAATTTCTATACAATACACATATATGCAAATACTTTGAATGTTTAGTTAGTTCTCATCCACAACTAAAACCAACAAAATGCCCTCTATTATTAAATTATTAGTCAAGATGGACAAGTACAGACATCTGTGAAATTTAAACTATTATATATTGTATATAGTATGAAATATATGGTAAATAAATATTGTTTAAATCAAATTTAAAGATACATTATCTATGATTCAGATAAAGAACTGGCCATTCTTGCTATAATAGTTCAGAAATATATAATGAAAACTGAATGTATTGAAAACTCTATTCAAATTACTTTATTCTTAGCACACGCGCTGTATCACGAGTCCTGTCATTGAGTCAGCTGGCGTGGTTTCGAATCCCCGGTTGTACGTGACAAGGAGTAGGGTTGCCTGTCCAACCTCGTGGGTTTTCTCCGGGTCCTCCGGTTTCCTCCCACTGCTAAAGGCCCCTACACACAAGCGAATTATTGAAATAAAATTAAACCATATGTTAGTCCCGAAATGACCTAGTCTGTGTCGAGTGGACGTTAAACCCCATTTCTCTCTCTCTCTCTCACTTTATTCTTAGCGAAGTTATGAGTGTTAGAAGATTGTTTATTACTGTAGCAACAGTACTGACCAAACAAGACTAAGTCTCAATTATCAATTTTATCATTAAATTTTTCAATCTTGCTGTCATTCTAATCTATTTAAGTCCCAGCCATCTGTTGGTCTAGAGAGTAGATTATGGGCTTGTTATGTTAATAGAGACCTACAATCATAAGGTCTGTCATGTCGACTGCCGTGGTTCGATTCCCCAGTTGAATGTGACAAGGAGTAGGGTCGCCTGTTCAACCTCGTGGGTTTTCTCCGGGTACTCCAATTCCCTCCCACTGCTAAAAGACCCATATATGCGCAGCAAATTATTGAAATAAAATTGAACCATATGTTAGTCCCAAAATGACCTAATTTGTGTCAGTCGAAGTTAAACCCCATTTATCTCTCTCTCTATCTGTATTATTATGAAATGAATTAATATTGAACAGCCCACATTTACTGCACCGACTGTGCCAGTAAAGACGTAATATTATGTACATGTACCTACTGGCCAGACAATGTAAGGAGAATTCAATCGAGATGTGCCCAATATCTTGATTAAATCTGAGTAACTTCAGACAGAATTTTAAAAAAATATCTTGAGAGAAAACAAGAAGGCTTCAAGTCCAATCATCTACATGCAAATAACCAGTCAAAAATAGACTCCAAAAGAAAGATTAGAAAATGTTACAGCTATTGGCAATGGAACGAACCTTCAGGAACTTTGATTAAATGCATGAAAGTTAATAATCTTGTAGCTTATGTCAATTTGCAATGTCGGAGAATTTAATCAGAAGAACAATTAATGTAGGCACTTGATATAATTACAAGTGAGGTGTGATTAATGTGTTATTGTTGGTTAGTTTGGTGTTAGTTTCTCTTTCAGGGGGTATAATGTATTTTACATGGCAATCAGTTTGTCGTCTTAGGCATTCTGCTTCCAGTTATTCCAAAGGGTATAACATGTTTTCCAGTTATTGCAGAATTGGAGATAATGAGAGGTTAAATACTTGAAGTAATGAGAGGAATAGAGCCTCTGAGCATCTTTTATATCTGTCATGTGCAGCTTCTTGTAACTGTTCTCTACTCCCAACAGATAAGGAGAACAGTTGCAAGAAGCTTGGGACCTAGGGCTGCTGGTTTTAAGGGGGAAGTCGTTCGGATGGTATAAAAAAACTGAGGTCCTGTGTACACATTGGCGTGTTAGTTAAAGATCCCTTGCAAGTTGGAATTCGATATAAAAGGTCCTAGCACTGCTGTCCCGGCAAAATTTCCGTCATGCCAGTCTCCATTAGCCCAGTTGGAGTAGAACAGTAGGATATTAGACCCTATTTCATTTATAAGGGGGAAAAGGAAGCAATTACTCCTGGGTCCCCTGCCAGGTTTGTAAAACAATGTAGGGAAAGCTCAACACTTCGTACCTTAATATCTGATCACCAGTAACCTTTATCACTATTGAGGTGATACTAACAATCTCTGTCCCTCTCTTTCTCTCTTTAGCCATGTACTATACGAAAGTTACAAAGTTAATCCGCTTGTTAACTGCCATTTTAATTCCTACATCAACAATTTTAGTCGTGAACACTAGATTTACTTCTAGAAGTTTGAGAAGTATTTTATCCCACTTCCAGTTAATAAAATTGAAAATGTTTATATATTCTTTGTGTGTAAAGAAAAATATAGAACAGATTAGAACCGCAGTAAAAAATAGAATACTAATTTTTTTAGTATGA